GAGGTGATGACCTGATGTTGTATGATGGGATGTCGTGGACTCGCTGATAGATGATGGTTGATGGACTTCTGTGTGGGAATCAATGAGAGCTAGTATGTTTGAATCAAATTGATGAGAAATTTGATAGATTACAAGTCGACATTTTTGCTAGACACGTTCTTCAAAACTACTAACATTTTCCAAAAAACACAGAAAACCACAAATCACAAAAACGCGTAAAAACCACACCCGCATAACGTCGTTTTCTGTTTAAAAAATAACTTTATATAAAAATATATAAATAGAAATATATTAATAAAATAATTTCTTCTATTTAAATGACTTCTTTAATAATAATTTACCGTATTAGAAATTAGTATATATAATATAAGATTATATTAATATTCAATATCCTTATAATCAATTTGAGAGGAGGGAGACACGCAAGGTAGGACAACGGGAAGAGAAGAGAACGCGAGAGGCAGGAACAAAAAAGCAATGTTCGACATGATGATTTATCCACTCGGAGCGACCTTTCGTTCGTAAAGATATATTCACACGAAATGTTCAAAAAGATTCTTAAGAAAACAAACTTGCCCCATGGCTCAGATCATCGGTGAGCATTGAATCGGAGCATCATGGGATTTGAACTGTCCTGAAATCATAACAGGCTCACGAAGACGTTCCCCAGGAGAGAATTGACGTGCTTCACAAAACAAACTCTAGGTATGTATCCCCTCGGAGAACACCTTTCGTGATTAGAATTTCATATGCACTCTTTCTGAATGTTCAAGAGGGTTTCAACTATCCTGAAACCATGAGAGGCTCACGAAGACGTTCTCCAGGAGAGAATTTAGAGGGGGGGGTCTGTATTGAAAAATCAATTCCAAGGGGGCGGGGGGGGGGGCGTGTATTGAGAAATAAATTCGAGGGGGGGGGTTGAATTGACTGATCAATTATTAGACCCGGACGCGCCAACACTTGCTTCGCAAGACAAACTCAAGGTATCCCCTCAAGGGCTACCTTTCGTGATATTTCTTGAAAAATAAGAAATCAAAATATCAATAAATAATACCAAACAATCTCAATATTTAAAAATCTATCCGTCTTGTATGAATTTCATGTGCATCTCGCAGCGCCGACCTCTACCTTTTCATCCTTTATTCCCCAAACAGGTTTACCTGTGAGGGGTTCTTACTCTTTTTAAAGGGGTGCATGCTCGGGCCGGATGATTTTGAGTTTGTCTCCGCGCTTGTGTTCCTGGCCGCATGATTTCACCCTTGTCTCCCACTTGTCTCCCACTTGTCTCCCAGTAAGCTCTGGATGCTCTGAGTGCTTGGCCGCATGATTTCACACTTGTCTCCCACTTGTCTCCCAGTAAGCTCTGGATGCTCTGACTGCTCTGGCCCCATGATTTCACACTTGTCTACCATTTGTTTCGCACTTGTCTCCCAGTAAGCTCTGGATGCTCTCAGTGCTCTGGCCGCATGATTTTATACTTGTCTCCCATTTGTCTCCCAGTAAGCTCTGGATGCTCTCAGTGCGCTGGCCGCATATTTGTCTCCCACTTGTCTCCCAGTAAGCTCTGGATGCTCTCAGTGCTCTGGCCGCATGATTTCATACTTGTCTTCCATTTGTCTCCCAGTAAGCTCTGGATGCTCTGAGTGCCCTGGCCGCATGATTTCAGACTTGTCTCCCACTTGTCTCCCAGTAAGCTCTGGATGCTCTAGTGCTCTGGCCGCATGATTTCACACTTGTCTGCCATTTGTCTCCCATTTGTTTCCCACTTGACTCCCAGTAAGCTCTGGATGCTCTGAGTGCTCTGGCCGCATGATTTCACACTTGTCTCCCACTTGTCTCCCAGTAAGCTCTGGATGCTCTGAGTGCTCTGGCCGCATGATTTCACACTTGTCTCCCACATGTCTCGGATTACATTGGGTCTGCCATTCGTGTTTACAAGGGGGGCAACATATGTCACAACCTGGATCCATAAATTTCATGTTTTAGCCCTTGTACGGCGTCCCATTGTAAAGTCAATGAAAAACATAATTTTAATGCTTTCCCTTTGAATCTTGTATGTGCGTCTACATGGTGGACTACAGCTCCGCATGCGTCTCCCTGCCTTGTCCGCCTCTCTCTTCCAATCTTATACTTTTCTCTCCTAGCTCTGGGCTGCTGTCCCCGCCTCTTGCTTGCAATCCTTCACATTTGTCTCCCGCTCTGGACTGCTGTGTGCATTGCAATCCTTTACATTTGTCTCCCGGCTCTAAACTGCCGTGTCCGTCTCTGCCTGGCAATCCTTCGCATTTGCTCTGGACTGCTGTGTCCGTCTCTGCCGTGCAATCCTTTTCATTTGTCTCCCAGCTCTGGACTGCTGTCTCCGCCTCTGTCTTGCAATCCTTTACATGTGTCTCCCAGCTCTTTGGGTTGCTGTGTCCGCCTCTCCGCCTTGCAATCCTTTACATTTGTCTCCCAGCTCTGGGTTGCTGTGTCCGCCTCTTCCTTGCAATCCTTTACATATGTCTCCCAGCCCTGGACTGCTGTGTCCAATCCTTTTCATTTGTGTCCCAGGTGTGGGCTGCTGTGTCCGCCTCTGCCTTGCAATCCTTTTCATTTGTCTCCCAGCTCTGGGCTGCTGTGTCCGCCTCTGCCTTGGAATCCTTTAAATTTGTCTCCCAGCTCTGGATTTACAAAAGGAAGCGCTTCCGTCGTAAGCTCTAGTTACAGAGTGTTCCGATTCTAAAAAACACAAACTCTTTGGGGCCTACGGTGGTGCATGACTTTTTCATATACACTAGAATTTCTTAATCTAATCAGTTAGGTGGAATAGCGCAGCCGCATAAATAGTTTCAGTCAATCCTATCCTATTTGAATGTACTTCACCAAACAGTCTACTGTTGGGGCTCTATCTTAGAAAAAAGAGCTTGCCACACTGACTGGCCGCGCCCCTGGGCTCTGTGGCTGGGCTCTGTGGCCTGGCTCTGTGGCCGGGCTCTGTGGCCCGCCTCCGTGTCCGGGTCTTGTCCTCCTCTTCTCCTTGTCTTGGCCGCGCCCCTGAACTCTGTGGCCGCGCTCTGTGTCCGGTTCTTGTCCCCCCCTTGTTCCCCAAACAGTTTACTGTTGGGGCTCTATCTTAGACAAAAGGGCTGGCCACACTGACTGGCCGCGGCCCTGGACTCTGTGGCCGGGTCTTGTCCTCCTGTTGTCCTTCTCTTGTCTTGCTGTTGTCCTCCTCTTGTCCTTCTCTTGTCCTCCTCTTGTCCTCACTGACCAGCCCTGGACACACTGACTGGCCGCGACCCTGAACTCTGTGGCCGGGCTCTGTGACCGGGTCTTGTCCTCCTCTTGTCCTGCTCTTCTCTTGTCTTCTCTTGTGGCCGAACGATTGGCGATGTCGATGCCGACAAAAATGATTGATTAAGCAATTTGCTCTTGGGGGGAAGGTAGGGCGTACCAAGAAATCGTTTTTGACTAATTATATATATAATATTGGTCCCAACGATCGTTTTGAAGCTGTTTGGGGTCTATGCTGGTACAATTGTGTTGAAGCAACGCGAATTCACGTAGCTGAATCTTGCTCTTAGATGGGCCCATCTGAAAAAACATCAAATGTGAGATGATAGTTCAAAGCGCTTGTAGAGTGCGATGGGTGCAGAACATGGTGCGCACACTTTGTTTTGTTCGCTAAAGGTTGCAGTCAGTGATTGTGGGCATGCCGTGCGAATGGTGTGCGCCATTCCCAGATTTATGGACCGACCAGCTCCTCCACGACATAGAAGAGGATTATGAACTAACGCGCAACCACGAAAAATGCAACGTTTTGGCAATGAACAGGCGCAACCTGATCCGTTTTCGAGATGGCTCACAAATGAGACATGCCGACGAGGTCACCTACCTTGGCGGAGTCCTGACAAAACAAGTGAACATTGCGTCCGAAATTTCGAGCAGAATTGCCTCTGTTATGACGACCTGGAAGAGTTTAGATATTTTCTGGAAAGAGGCCCAGTGCAGTTAAAGAAACACAATCCTGATATACAATGCCGTCACCAAACTTCTCTATGCACTTGAGACCCTGGAGATTCCAGCTGGTCTGCTTTCCCGCTTGGAAGCAACTCAGTTGAAAGGTTTGGGACAGATTTTGGGCATGGCTCCCACGTATATAAACCGTGCCAATACCAACGCGGAAGTTTTCAGAACAGCTAATCAGCTAATCTCCACATCTCCAGAAATAACCGTGGACGTAAAATCGTTTCTATCCAAGAAACCCTGAAGACTAGCACTTGCTGGTAGAATCCTTCGCCAAGATAACGAACACTTCATGAGAATGGTAAGCTTCAAAAACGACTCGGCCTCTCCTATCGATGTTTCATTTAGACGTGTTGGCAGACCACGCAAACAGTGGACTCAAAACACCTTGGTTTTGATTTGGAGCCATATCCGACACAGCGAAGTTGACTTTTTTGTTCTCAAGAGCAGTTGGCTCAAATCCTCGATGCAGCGAACAGGGAACAATGTTTAAAGGTGCTTTTACCACGTTGAGACCTGGACATCGAAACTAAATCGATCCTCTAATTTGCACTTGTCCTTTGTTATGCAGTTCCTGTACTGATGGGCATGAGGGGCGCCTTCGGGTGCGGCATTTATCCTTTTGACTTAGTTTCATACGCTTTCTCTTACCCCCGTACCTATGGCACGCAAAAAAAAGAACTGACCAGAACTACTCTGATTGAAGCGGTCCTGAGGTTGAAGGTTGAAAAGGGATATTTGCATGATGAGAAGGCTGCAACGGCCATCGAAAACGGAGAGAGGCCACAAAAAGGGTTGCAGGCTAAACCTCTCTCCTGCCCCAAGATGCACGGTCAAATCTACAACATCCTTGTTGATCCGGTCCCTCTATCCCTCATGTATTCCTTTTTCTGGTTGCCTGTGCCGGTTTGGGACACAGCCACGCCGTGCGTTTTGTCTACGTCACAAAACCCAAAAAAAATCCGAAAACTATACATCTCTCTCTCTCACAGTCTTCACCCAGTCTTCTGCTTCTTGGAGTTCGGCTCCACCGTCTCCACCACTTGGGCGATGCACTTTTTCAATTCGTCGTAAGATGTGACCACTGGGATCTCCTTGGTCAAACAATGGGACAAACCGAACCTGTCATATCTTTCCCTTCCTCTGTCTCCAATGGTATTCTTCAGGCGATATGTCAGATACGCCCATGCAGGCATTCTATCCAAGGTGCTGGGTGATCTTTCTTGACAGCCTCCGAAGGCCTGAAAAGAACACCTTTCTCTGCCGCATGAATCCTTGGACGCACGATGGTTCATTGCCAATCTCTGCATCCTTCTCTGAAGCTCAAACGCACCCATCCCAAGGTGATTGAAAGCTAGGTATTGAGTCACCAAGTCGCATGTCAATATCATTGAAGGAATTGCCAACAGCGAGAATTCGGAAATTAAGCCGTTGGAGCTCCTGCTGGGCAGAATGTGTATTGTCATGTATCGTCCGATTTGCACTGCCGGTTGGAGCTTGCCAACCAAAGCTCCAGTCAACGCAGTTCTTGCCGAAACACTTCTCACGCGCCTGAACAGTCTTCAACTTCTGACCTTTCAGCCGAGTGATGAGCCTCACAGGAGGCGTGTATGTATGCCCGCGTGCATGCGAGCTGAACCACAACGAAAACATTGCATGCAAAGCAAGCACACACACACACACACACGCACACACACTTAGGATAGGGTGTACTGAACTGAAAGCGGTGCCACACGCCAGCCTAGGTTACCATTTCCTAAGAGTACAAGTACGAACCACTGAAGCCTGGGGGTCTTCAAAAGGAGAAGAGTCCAAAGTCGTAAGTCGAAATCGGGACGACAGGTTGACGACGGTCGCTCACAACTGCGGAGTGCATGACGGAAGCTTAAAAATTGGTGCGGGTACGTCGGTGAGCGTCCCCACCGATATCAGTGTTCAATGCAAGCCTCTTCGTTGGGCTGGTACTTGCATGAACAACCAGCCCCCCTGCTTTGACAAAAGCTAAAAAGCAAAAAGGCAAACCGAACAAATCCAAAAGGATCCCTATGATTCCAAGGGTTACACACACACGCCTCCCCGAGGGGAGGCAAAATTAAGGCTAGGACGAATGTGTAAATGTGCGCGCAGAAAGGACAAAAGGATGAAGACATGAAAAGGAAGACAGACAGGACAAAAGTGGCAATGAAAGGGAAACCGAGTGCACAGGGACAACCGATGAGCCCACCTCATTGTCGAGACCTGGGCGACCTAACACCTCAGTTGAAAGTAGATGTGCGCGTACACACTAAGGCCCGGACCATTGCACGCGCAAAAGAACGAAAGGAGTGAGATGAACGGACATGAAGCAAGGGAAGACATGAAAAGAAAGAGGAAAAGAAGTGTGTGAAGGGGAAAAGGTGAAAGGGGAACCAAATGCCTCGTTGAAGTGTGTACGATGTATGTGCACCTAAGTATCCAACAGGTTCCAATGAACCTAGAAACTGGCTTTGACCGCTATGGTCACCTTGTGCCTTGCCGAAATGGCTGGCTGCTTCGACCCCTGCGGTCACGTAAAGGCATAAGCCAGCTTGGAATTCCTAAATTGAGACAAAATCTGAGTTCACTCGGCCTAGGCCACCTTCGCCCGCTCTGGGCATTTACATCTCCGGGCAGGGGAGATAACGACGTACCCCCGTTCAACGGGTCCACGGGAGGCACTCTGCGGGCTCATCCCGGGTTGGCACGAGGCCAAACACACTTAGGATAGGGTGTACTGAACTGAAAGCGTGCCACACGCCAGCCTAGGTTACCATTTCCTAAGAGTACAAGTACGAACCACTGAAGCCTGGGGGTCTTCAAAAGGAGAAGAGTCCAAAGTCGTAAGTCGAAATCGGGACGACAGGTTGACGACGGTCGCTCACAACTGCGGAGTGCATGACGGAAGCTTAAAAATTGGTGCAGGTACGTCGGTGAGCGTCCCCACCGATATCAGTGTTCAATGCAAGCCTCTTCGTTGGGCTGGTACTTGCATGAACAACCAGCCCCCCTGCTTTGACAAAAGCTAAAAAGCAAAAAGGCAAACCGAACAAATCCAAAAGGATCCCTATGATTCCAAGGGTTACACACACACACACACGTGAAGAATGTAACGGTAACGCGCGTGGCTGGCCAAACACGGCCACAGTGATGCTCTGAAAACAGTGCTGAGTACCTACTTCACAAGTCAGGAGCGTTTGTCATCTAGGTTCAGACTGCTGTAACTTGAGCACTCATGCATGCCACACGCTCCTGTTTGGCTTTGGTTCTGTAAACTCGACAACTCGACCTGGGCCTCTTCCTCAGGTCGTGACAGGTTGCCCTAGATCGGACTGTGAACTCTACACACGGCTTGCATGAGCCTGTCTTGCTCATTAGCGGTGGGCATTGGGGCGGGTTAGGTCTCGGTTTGCTTTGGGTGCGAGATTTTGACGTCCCCGGCGGACGTTCTGCGCTTCCCCACTCTGCTGAGGGCCTTCGGAATTATAGCGGCTTGAGAGAGAGAGAGAGAGAGCGAGCGAGCATGTCTTCCATTTTTGGGCAAGGCACCTTTTCAAAAACCCTTCATCATCAGCTTCAAAGAAATTGCAGAAGACCATGGGGTGCTCCAGTTGATCAAAAATTGGTAGCGCATATTCCTGGGCGCACGATGATATTGACAACATTTAGGGCCTGGCACTGAAAATTCGCACAAGTGTTCTCTGTAATCCAGGTGCTTCGGGCCCATCAGTAATCATGAATGTCCGTGGAACAATCGGCTTCCTTGGTGGGCTGATGTCTTTAGGCCATCCAAGGATGTCTTGTAGGACTCATGATTCACTACAAACGCAGGCGCTAACACTCAAATCATGGCAATTTGTCTGCAAAACAAGTCCGAAGTTTGTGCTTCGTAAGCCATGGAAGCTTGCTCCGAGCTGCAGCCATGCCAAGAACTGCGTAGCTCCCGGCAGGAGTTCCAGACCATCCATGATGTCTACCTTCAGCCGGTGCCGACGTCGGTCTCAAAAAGCAGATTGACCGCGTCTCGTCCTAAATCAAATCGGCCCAAGGTGCAATTTGCTGCAGCTTGACGCCATTGGTCCGCAAAGCAGAGGAACGTAGCGCCATAAGCTTTGCATAATCTGGCTCCTGCATCAGGACTTCTGAAATGCAACTAGTAACTACGGTAAACGAATCAAACTTTTTGTTGTACAGCTTTCCGACAGAATTTGCATTGCCCCACACACCTGGGCAGTGGTCACCTTCAATTCGGGAATGTTAGTTCCTGGCAAAGCACGGTATGAAAAAAGGCTTCAAGGTTCCATGGGCTTTCACTGCCACATCATCCAACAGAATGAATAATCTGAAGCCAGGCCACTCTGCTGCACGGCTATCCAGGGCTCTGGAGCCAAGAACCCGGCAACATTGCAGACAAGAAGCCACCTGAGTCGCAAGCTTCAAGTTTACACGAGCAACTTTCACAACATATGACATCCACTCCCCCCCCCCAAAAAAAAAGACAAAACTACAAATATGTGCAGCTGCAGCGAGCAAATGCGAGCATCACAGTCCTATAGTGCATCAACCCCATGTTTTCGCTGGACTTACCAAAAAGTACACACGCGCAGCAAAGAAACATGGTTCGTGAGGAGGCTGTAGCGCTCAGCGGAGGTGGATCGGCCAACTTCTTGGGCAGAATTTGCTTGTTGGCACTCAAAATTCGACCTATCCTGAGAGCAAACAAATTGAAGTTTGACTGTTGAGCCTCATATTGTATTGAAACAAAGGTGCAAGGTAGCTTGCTTCGGCGACTTGCGACCAATGCTCTTCGCGCGAAGGTCATTGTGGTCCTTTGCCACAGGAAATTCTGGATGTGCTTTCCTCACCTTCTCCTGACAGTTGTACATGCTGCTTTTCCACCACATTTTTTACACATGAAATTCACTGCCAAGGTTCGGAGGGGTAGATCAAAATGCCACGCTCCGCAGCAGTGAGCATGGAAACGTCCTTGCCAGTCAATGGCTGGTTCTGTCAGACAGGAAACTGCTATGGTTCATGCATATCAGTGAGGAAATGTGCAAACATAAAACTGAAAACAACTTTACTAATGCAAGGCTCATTGAAAGAATCCCCAACAGCAATGACTCTGAAATTCAATCTCTGGAAGGACTCCACGGCCTTGCCTGAGGCAAGCCGCCACCCGCAAGCAAGCCGTAAATACATGATCTTGTTTTAGGCTGCTGCTTGGGGTGCTGAAGATTGGTTGCCAGTAAAAGCTTTCTGGTCAATCATCCTTGCAGCCGGGTCTCGCTTCTGATCTTTCAAACGCAAAATGTGATCGCAAATGAAGCCGTCGCTGTCAACCACCAAAGAATTGCAAAAAACCGAGGGGTAGCCAAGTTGTTCAAACATCGGCATGGCATACTCCTCGAAGGTGTCCTGCTTCAGTTGAAGTGTGTGTGTCCCTTTCTCAATGTCAACTGATCGACCCCAATTTACTCCCCCAATTCAATTGTCTATCAAAGGTCTGCCAAAGTGTGCGAATTACATACTCTGGAGTGCCACATGCATATCAGCAATTTTCTTCACAACCACTTCTCTACAAATGCTGGAAGCCCAAGATAAGAGCATTGGCAAGAAGCTTCTGTGAGCTTTGGGGCCAGGCTGACAATGGTGCTGCCAAACTGGACCGACTCTCAACTGGATGTGAGACAATCAACTACTGCATTTGCTACATGTTGAAGCGGAAGCAGGACAAATAGTATGGATGATGAATGCTGGTGCTAGGGAAGATTGCACGGGTTTGGTTTTGTCCTTTTGGCGCATGAGTGACAGTTCTACCAAAATGATATCTTGTCACATTGTCAATCGCTGTACTGGCCATACCATGAGCATCCGTGAGCATGCGTAGTCGGTACACATCAAAATCTTTCTGCTCGGGGCTTGATGCAGTCTTGTCAGCTGCACCGGTACTGCCAGGAAGGCCTATTCTTAAGGCAACAAATTTTGTGACTCGTTTATGTTCAATTTTGTTAGCTGATAGACCACACACACAGACATTGGGTTACTGTACAATATGTCAAGATCTTGCAGCAGCTCCGTCAGCAGCAGGATGCGTGGCACCAGTGGCTTGAGCCAGTCCAGGAACTCTTTGGCACCGGGCAATGGTTTTAAATCTTTCACCACCTCTATCATGTCCTGGAAGGCACAAGCGTGGAAACTCAAGACTCAAGAACCTTTCTTGGTGGGGACAGAAACTCCGCTGTGTGAAGTCAAGCATCGCCGAGCTTAATGTTGTGCTCCCGCAGCAAGTTGATTCGGTATCTCATGAGCTTGTCGTAGTCCGGCTCATGGGCAGTGGTTCGCTTCAAGCCTTCAATGCCGGTTTTCTTCTGAAGCTCTAGCCAAGCCTGGCCGAGGAATGCTGCATGTGACATATCCGTCTAACTTCATCTGTTTGACAAAGCTCACGAGGCTCACATGAATCCAACAAGTCAACCACACGCAGGCAGTGCTTCTGGCATGAGAGTGCCCTCAACATCTAGCACGACCATCACCAAATCTCCTTGGGATAACAAACATCTCGCACGCACGCATGATGCTCAAACAGAAAGGCCACCAAGCAATTCCAATGGTTTCGCTTCGCCAATGTGCCAAAAAAGAAATCATTCTTCACGATGTATATATAAGTTGTATAAGTAATCAATTTGGAACAGCGTTGTTTTTTGAATACCGCGCATACGTGTTCTGCACAGTATGAGGATGACAAACACGCAATTTGCTATCAAATAGCTTTGCTTGTGAATGACTGGGGCTGAATGGGGCAAATGAACTGGCCAAAGGGTGTGTGAGGAAGCATTTTCGCACATATCAAATACAGTGGTTTCAGGTCTCATATCTATGCGGCTGTGAGTCCCTATGTGATGGTGAGGGTCTGTTTCTTCGTTTCTTCTTGAGCACACCGCGCATCCTAACTTGGTGACAGTTGGAGACTCACAATGATTGTGATCTTGCTTGCCATCGTCATTGGTACCCCAACCCTGTTCTTTGGCGCAACCAAAGTCTTCTGCTGGCATAGTCTCACAAGACACAAGACTACTGTACACGAGTATCACCTTGTCAGAAGGCAAGTCTCTTTCAGCGATGTCAATTTCTTCTTGCAGCACATACTGAAGCTTCCTCTCACCCAAGACCTCCAGGACTGGGCATACAGCGGCTTGCAGGTGGCAGGGTTTGCAGGTGGCTTGCTGAGTTGTTCTTGCGTTTCTAACGAAGCCTTGCTGGCGTAAACATTCACGTACTGGTTCCTGGTTGCATCTGGAAGGTCCTTCCAATGGTGGGCGCAAAGGTCGTAGTTTCCTGACAGAACCAGAACTGGGCCAGCCAAGACAGATAAATAATGACTCCTGTTCGAAACCATGTGATCCACATTGATCCACCCAAATGGCCTTGAGGACCCAACATGTAACATGACGCAACCCTACCCCCCCCCCCAAAGACCTTGACTATAGTACTGGGATGGCACATGGCACAAGCTGGCCTTCTGCTTGCTTGTGGTACCAGTCATCTCCCAAAGAAACTGCTTTGCTGCATTGGTCGCAACGAGCCAAGTACTGATTGATTTCCAAGATGTATTCATTCTGCTGGCTACCAAGGTCACTGCTGGTGGCAATGTTCACGTACACCTGGCGCAGGTCCCAGCTGCAATGTGTGCAAGGATAGCATGAGCGGGCCGAAGGACTCTTCCCAAAAGTTTCTTGTGCAAACATGCACCTGAAGTGGATTTTCATTGGGCAAAAGCTGCACTAGCATGCACATCTCCTTCCTCCATGTTTCAGAGCTCGAAGTCAGGTTGGCAAGTAAGTGTCACAATATGACCTCAACCTGTAATTGCATGATGGCAGGAGTTGGTGAAGTCTGGGAATCTACCTACGGTCAAGATTGTGCATGGATTTGGTAGGGTTGGAACGCGCTTCCGAAGATATGCTCTACAGGGTGATGCAATCAACCGTGCACCAAAGAAACCGAAGCCCACAGTGCACGCCTGCCGCTCCTCAGCCGAGAGCTTAGCAAAGTCTCGGGCACATAGGTCGTAGTTGGTTCCGGGCTTGTGATACCAGTTGTCACCGCGAAAAAGGCTGCAGCGGCAAACGTCGCAGCGACAAAAGTAGGTGAACTCTTCAGCCATGGCATCCGCAACCCCCATGGGAGTTGGACCCCCAAACTGCACACAAGCTTCGGCAACGGCAGACTTTCAGCCTCAAGCTGCGGAAAAAATGAGCCCAAGCTGCAAGTCACCCAAAGTTTGGGCTCGAACAATTGCCTTCCAAGTGTTTCCAAGCTAGGCTAGGATGTGTTAGACATACTGCTTGATGATGCTTGATGATTTCTGTTTTCGTGCATGTCAAATCAACATTTACACAACAAATATGTCCCCGTGCTCCCTTACGTTGGTGCATGGTGCATGTCAATTTTGCTCTGCACTCAGAGACAGAACGAACTTGACCCTTGCATATTCATGTTTTTGCGTTTCATGAACAGGTTCTTGGCCCCCCTGCAAACAATATCTCTCAAGCAATCTCAAAAAGTGGGTTGAAGGCAAAGGAGAGTTTTTGGGCCAAGCAATGTAGCGGGCTGGCTTTCTTAGTTGGCTTCTCACTTGACTGGCTGTCTTGGGTGAGTGGTTCTCTGGTGGCTGGTTGTTCTTCTCTTCCGTGGTTGGTTCGCTCATCTCTTGCCTGTCTGGTGGCTGGTTGAATATCTGAGTTGACTCTTGGCCAACGGACTGGTGAGTTGCTTTGGTTGGTGGTTTTGGTGCTTGAAACACATTGCAGGGTGTCCCCATTGTCACCACGTGGATTTTGTGAAGACATGCTTGTGGTGTTCTTGGGGTGGGAAATGGATGTTCAACTTCTTTTCTTGAAGCAAGTCGGCACCACACACTTGAGATAATGCGTACTGAACTGAATGCCACCCGCCACACGGTAACCTAGGCACCCAAATCCTGAAAGATTCATGTAAGAAGTCTGAGGATCTTGGAGGTCAAACAAAAAGAAGAAAGGTGAGGCCCAAATCTCAACATGCAAAGTCGACGATCCCGAAACGACGAGGTGACGACGTCCGTGCACACATCTGCCGAATGCGTTAGCCCTTTATGGAAGATGAGAGTGACAGCTTGTAAACACCACAACTCAGCAGGTACGTGAAAGTGGCGTCCCACTTTCATATTCTCGGGTACATTGCCAGCTTCGTTGACCAGGCGACAATGTACCCTGCCTGGTCCCCTGCGATAAGTAAAAACGAAACTTCAACGGAAGCCCTATGACTCCAAGGGTTTCACACAGACTGCCGTGATCCTACAGCAATCTGTTTGTATCTTTTGCTGTTGGGTTGCTCCATCCACTTGGTGACCTTTCAGCTCAGTGCCTAAACATAGCTGACATAGCCGATCGCTGTGGGTGATATCTGGCACTGTACGATGAATATGTTTTTTGTTCAATCGCTTCATGGACCCATGGAGAATCACAACGAAAGAGTGTCCCATCTTTTACCCTTCATGCGGGACTCCTTTTCTCCTCAAGGTGAGCACCACTTGCAAATCATCTAAAGAGACAATATGTATGTAGAAGAATGGCATTGGCAAAATGTGGAAAGGCCAGGTTGATGTCCGAATCAACCAAAGCCACCATGAAAAGGACCCAATAGTGGAGCTAAACATTCCTCCATCCACAGGAGGCGCACCAGCTGTCCCGCAAACATGCAGAACGGGGCTAGGTCTTGCAGCCTACCTCCATTACCCAAGCTATAAGTCCGAAGATGAATCACTTTCAGAGACGTCACCCTGCAATGAAGGGGCACACTTCTTATGACTTGTGCACCATGCCAGCTGAAAAAGTATAACGAGGCGAAAGCACTTCGTCTGATTCGTCTGCACACAGGAATAGGTCTCCAGGAAGCTCCTGCGTAGCTGCCATCACTCGAGCAATGGTTTTCCCCTATCGTGTGGTGTCCTCCCCTTTATGGAGCCAGGAATGAAATAATTCCTGAATTTCCTGCACGCCAGGAAGCTGGGCACTGCATTCTAGAGAAATCCGGATCCATCGCCTCCAAAGACTTGCCCTTCGTCTCTGGCAGCACACAACCTTCGTTTGCCGCTGGCGTTTGGGCGTCATGCGCTTCTGCAAAAAGAGGCTGAGTCCATGTCTGAGAGCAACTCCCAAAAGATTAACAGCTGCAAAGATCCAAAACCTTGAAAGGAGCGAAGTTAACAAATCGCTTTCAGCTGTTGTGGTCTGCCAAACGTCGCTTGTTGTCTTGAGTCCCTGAAGGACCCTAGCGTCTTGAAGCCGATCTTTTCCATCAGCCAAGGAGGGGCAAAGCCAATCAGAAAGTTCCCAACCTCAGGAAAAACTATAAAACACTGAATTCTCCGAGGCCTCATGCAAAGGGCTTGGGAGCGGGAAGCTTTTCTGATTTTTGTAAGACTCTTGATCCTCATTGAGTTTTTGGCCCAGTTGGCATCGGTCGTCAATCCATTGGACTTAGTCTTGTACCTGGTGCTTTCGCTGTCTGACCCACAACGCCAAAGCTTTCAGCTTGGGCACTTTAAGGAAAAGATTTCCGCACAGTAGATCCAAACAACCGGACCCCAGCCTCAGTTCGGCAAGTGTTGATGCACCAGGGAAACACTGCTGCACTTTCAGCATGCCGTTCCCAAGTGTCTCACCGTATGCATAGTTGAAAATGTCCAAGAAAATTGCTCCTGGATATCGCTTGGACTTCTGACTGGTCAGTTGAGAGGCTTGGCCCTGCCTGCCATGGCATACTTGGAGACTGGCCCACAGCTATCCTGCACGAGCCCACCGCTCAAACCATTTGGCCGAATCAATTGGAAGACATCTGAGTGCGTCACGTCTTGTGATGACGAAAAACATGCATCTCCCACCTGTCTGAAGGCGATTCGAAAGCCCAAGGAATTGCATGCGTGGAAACTCAGAGTGCTGCAGCCGCCAGAATGCTGCCTCAAAGCAAAATAACTCTGACAGTCAGTGACCCCGCGTTCCCTTGACATACAATATATGCCTGAGATCCGCACAACATATAGCCATTCCAAGTGCGGAAGCACAAAGGAGGGTTGTACGCCCAAGCCGGTCAACCAAGCAAAGTGCCTGGCACAAATCCTGTATGGAAGTGGGGCGCGCGGGTTACCAAAGCCTGACTGTCCCTTTGCACCTTCATGCCTTCTTCCAACAAGTCTTAAAGAGACAACTGGCTTCAGCAACATTTCCCTCTCGTTTTGATGTTTTCCTCTTTCTTTCCTTTGCTTGACAGTCAGGATGGAACAATACTTAATAAAATAACCTTCTTTGCCGCCCACTTGCAACACAAAATGAGGGGCACATGCATGTGCAATACAGTGTTCTTGCCCAAGTGAAAAAATGGCATCCAAGCTGACCTAGTAATATTTACAATGTACACCGATGAAGGTTAATTGTGCCAGCAGCACCGGAAAGGTGCTCAAGAAATTTACCAATCCAGACCTTGACTCAGTCGCCCTCTAAACGAGGCGAGTAGTATGACATGGCAACGCAACAACCAGCTGAGCTCGCTACAAAGCTGCAAAAAGAAATGACGCACCTCAAGTTGGTATGACACCATAGCTTCAGCAGAAATACGCCAATGGACAAACTGCTCAGTTCAAGTTGCGTGGAGCATGAAAAATCTTCTTGAAAACGGTTGGCCCGTAGTACATGAAAACGTTGAGACCTCAGCAACGGACTCTAAGGAAGTGAACGCTTCTGCGCTTAGGAGCGCTTTGCAATATTCAGCCACTTCTTTGGCACACCGGCAGCTGGTGTGGGTGCATGTGTATTTGTGTGATCACATATTCGTATGCGTTTGGAAATGTGTTCTTCCTGCTCGCATGCCCACATGAGAACTCTCGCAAATTGCAAAGTCACAACTTGTCACAACTCTTGTGTTGCCTGTGTGTTCTGCTTCTCGATCAAATTTCCAACAAAACGTGAATGACGGAGCTATGCCCCCCATCAATCGTGAACGATTCTGGCAATATTCAATATTCTATCTTGTGGTTGGGGTCAACACCTTGGTGTCAGTCACGCTGGCGCTGTGCTGTTCACAAGATGCATCTTTTTGGTCTTAGTCTCACCTGGTTGGTTGGCAAATAGGTTGGCGGGTTAGTTGGCGGGTTGAGCTTTGTTGCATGCTCTTTCTCTTAGTTGGTTGCTACTGGTCTGGTTCTGTCTTGGCTTGACCGTTCGGCTTTGCGGGGTTGGTCGGCTATAATCTCTTGCTCAGTTGGTGGTTGATTGCCCTGGTTGGTTGAACATCAGGTCTCGTTGTGACCGCACATTTCATCTATATATCTTTGTTGGTTGCTTGATGCTGCTTCGTCACTAGATGCTGCTGTACTGACTGTACTGTACATACAGCCGGACAGTGCCTTCACTATTTCGTGAGCCTTCTCTCCTCCCAACCTCACTTATGGTTCTGGAATACCAAAGCATTTTTGCACCTGCTTTTTTTCTACACCCAGCTAGCTGGTACTACGTTACTACGGCTTCAGTGACCTCTATATAATCGCCCTCGATTGTCAAGGTCCTGATTGGCGTAGGTATCCAAGCATGTTGAACATTGAATTGAGAAGTGGCGGGATGGTTTTGGGCGGATGCGCTTGTTTTGACCCACCGAAGCCATCCCGTGCGCGAGAGCAATAATTGGCAAGTCAGCAAGGACAACACGAATGACTGGAGTTGCCCAAATATGACAGTAAAACCGGACTGGCCAATAGCAACAAAAAAAAGCATTGACTCATTGACCAACTGCAAAAACAAGTCGCCACACAGCTGCTGGAGGAGCTGCAGAACGATACCAATTAAGAGGACCTGTCAACCAGGACCCGCAACGCGGACCGCGGACTCTGATAAAAAAGGATCCTGCACATCACGCCACCTTGCCATTGGATCCCGTGAATAATTCGACATAATTGGCTTTCCCAGTGGCCCTGGCAGGGGTCGCTTGGTACAGCTTGTATATAAGACACGCACTTCGCAATCAGGCCTTTCAATGCTGGCAGACTCACAACAATTTCATGTGTCAAAGCAATGGAACTTATGCATGACTATGACAAGGAAGGAAGCAGCTTGAGAATCCAAGTCTCCTTTCCCTTCTATATTCTTTGTAGGTAGCGACGAGCTCCATCCTGGAGAAATGTCTTTCTGGGGACTCAAGGGGGGCACGAAAGAAGCAAAAGACCACGTAGAAGACAGAGGGGCAATTCACAAAGGTGCTACGCAAAACAACTACTTGTGGAGACTCTGCAGTTGCAAACGCAGTGGAATCTGCGCTGACAGTGACACAATAACCAGGCCACGCCTCACATCTTCATGTTTGCCCCGAATCCGTCGCAGTATGTCCAAGGCAGCTTTGTACCTTCTCCTCACCCGCAAAGCGACCATAGCAAAACCGCTGTGCCGTGTTCTGCCACACAGGAAGCACAGTCCTTGACACAAGCCATCTGGGAGATTGGGGCCTGTGCCGTGCCATCGCAGCCGAACAAAGCCATCCAAAAACATGCCGCCCCGGCTGAGATCTACACATGAAGCTCGCACCAGCTGCAAAAATTCCTGCCAAGCTGCTCAATCATTCCGTGACAAGCATCATGAGGTGCCAAAAAACCGCCTCCAGGAATGAGCTGCAACAAGATACTGTACCGCCTTGGAAAGCCGCGCTTTCGGGGTGCGACTTCATGTCACAAATGTTGGCGTTCTTGTGGCGAATCAGGTTCCAGCCAGCCATGCTGAAGTGGCTGTAGCCAGTAGTTCATCCAAAACGCGAGCATGATACCCATTGTAATAGCAAGCCTTGGGCTGTCTTCCTACCGATTGGCTGAAGCAACCAGAAAAATTATGAACATCAAGCTGGGCCAGTTGCTGGTAAAGGGCAACAATGGCGCCTCTGTTTTCCTGCCCGCATGCGTGCCCACTACAGTCCTTCACTAGGTCTATCTTCTGTGCTTTAGTAGGTCACTAGTCTATCTAAGTCTACCAACAACGACAGACGGGTCCGGAGGAGCGATTTCACCTTGGTAAAGCGGTACGTTGGCCTTGGTGTGGTGCAGCGTTTGGCCAGCCTCTTCTCTCGCACCTAGAATGCACGACCTTTCGTGTTTTTTGTGAGCTACCAAGGGCAGCACACTCAAGAGCCCAACAGAAGCACCTTCAAAGTCTCAACAAATCAAGCAAGTACAGCACCCAAAAGAGTTCCGGCCTGCTATAAATCTGCCACAAAGCATTGTATTCAGATTGGGCGCCCAACCTGAGTTTCATGTTGAGACGTCTTTACTAGCTTCCTGCTCCATTTGCTGCTCTTGCATGACTAAGGCTTGAAAGCCTCTGATTCTTGCAATTGTCTGTTCTCCAGCGGCTGGACCGGAGAAGGCTTTTATCACTTCCACAAATTGGGTCAACAGGATGCTCCACAAACACAAACAAGCCACCGAGCTTTGGAAGGCTGGAGGTTGGGGTGTGCTCCTCCAACATGTGGAGGGAGCAATGCATGGCAAGCAGCAGCGATGTACGATCTGGACAATTGATGTTCACTTTGCACACGACATTGGCTTCGGTGCGGCGTGTCTTTGTAAAGAAATCCAGCAAACAACACTCTTAATACAACATGGTTGAGGGGTGTGTGGCTGATGAAGAGTGGATATGCCCTTAGAGTCTGAACGATGGTTTCGGTACTGCCTGTGCTGAAAAAGGGTGGGATACGCAGAAAACAAGATTTTAAACAATGTGACCATGGTAAGCGTACAAAGCATGCACCCACTGACTCAACAACAACAACAACAA